GGGTGGACTCCAACTTCCAGAATTCCCCAACCAGCATGGGTGGACTTCAACTCCCAGAATTCCCCAGCCAGCATGGCTGGCTGGGGGATTTTTGGAGTTGAAGTCCACCCATGCTGGTTGGGGAATTCTGGAAGTTGGAGTCCACCCATCTTAAAGTTGGCAAGTTTGAAAAACACTGCACTACACAAACACACTTGAGCATATACACCCACTATTGCCCAGATGTCATTAAATCCAGGGTGACCTTGTCATGGTGGCAGGGCAGAATTTGACCACTGCTCGAAGCACCAATGAGTGAGAGCTTGGGGTCCAGTTGCATAGATGGATTAGCATTATCTGTCCTCTTTTTCCTTGTTTTTTCTTAAAGTTGGGGTCATTTTAGCGGTCTTAAACTTGTGTTAGGACTTATGACGCACTTTGGGGGAACTGCTGGCTTTAAATAATTATTGCCGGAGCAGGGTTCAGGAGCCACCAGAAAGTGGGAGGGGAGTGAGACTGTAAGATGGCCCCCCCATCTTAAAGAGTGATCTGGGGTGGGTCCAAAAGGATGGTGATTCCCTTTTCTGCATAACCCATAAGTCCTAACACAAGTTTAAGACAGCTAAAATGACCCCAACTTTAAGAAAAAACAAGGAAATAGATGCTTAATTAAGTTCCTGATTTTCTACGTTTGCCCAAGACATCCTGTCTCGCATTGGACCAACCGTTGAGTGGCTAAACGCTGGAGTTTAAACTCTGCTGGAGTTGGGCAGCCATTACATACATACATACATACATACATACATACATACATAACACATTCACCAGGGTTAAAAGCAGCAAACGTTAGCATGTTGGGCCAACAGGTCTCTGCAGAGGAGGTAAAGAAAGTCAAGACGGTGTCTGCCCCCATGTGATCAAAGCGCTGCCCAAAAAGGGCACGGCCCCAGCCATGCTTCTCTTGCACCCTCTAAACCTTTCTGACATGCACATGACTCTGAGAGAGAGAGAGAGTGAGTGGCTT